CAACAGAGTATAACACAGTGTTATGTGTCTCATTTTATTCATGTGATTTTCCTTTTGTAGATTCTGTAAGCTTTTCTCTCTGCATTGTATATGAAGAATACTAATGTAAAAGTCAGAAAAGAATCTATTTTTTTTTTGTTTGTTTGTTCTGGGTATATAAGGCATTGTTTAATCAGAACTGATTGACCTGAACAGGACTAGCATTACCAAAGGTAGTGTAAGATTATAAAAATTATAGCCGATTGAGATGCCAAGGATCAATTGGTTTTGCATTTGGGTTGAGGGATGTTAGACTTACCAGACTGAGCATCCTCTGATTAGCAGCTTTTCTGTGCAGAAAATTTTCAAGTATCAAAGTTTTTGAAATGCCAACCATTCTGAAAAATTTTAATGCAAAACACCACATTAATCACAAAGCAATCTATGATTTGTTTACACATGTTGCCAGTTATTGATAAAGAATGATGTTTGATTATATTCAATAATTGTTATAATTTTCTTTTTTGAGAAGGAAAAAGTATCTGTGGGAAAGGTTTGTAAACTTATTTACCCACTAAATAATTGAGAGAGTGAATGCTGGTCTTTTTGCTATTAACTTGATCAAATAAATCTTGTGATGAGATATTTTCATACCTTTTTTGTCAACTAATTGATGAAAATCATGACAAAAAGCATCATAAACTAACAATGAATATGTGTACATGTGTATATTTGAGAATTTTTTCATACAATATATTAGGTGTCTCTTGGGGAGCAATCATTAGTTTCTGAGAATCATTTTTAATTTTAGGAACTTGAATCAATGCATGTTGGTGGTGAATTGTAAAGGATGTGTGGATAGTGTAATGGTAATCAGCAAAGAAAATGAAATTAAGCCAAATTCACACTAATGTCCTTGTAAAAAGCATAAATCTATCTCTTCTCCTCCCAGCTATGGGTTAAATAGCAAAGCAGACTGGGTTCTCTAGTCTAGGAGGACTATTCTGAATTCAAAACTGCAGAAGATAGTAAGGAATTTCACAGATAATGCAGAAAATGGATGCTCTGGCAAGCCATGATTTTCTAAGTCCTGAAGGAACATGGCATTCTAAAAAGTAAAAGTGTGACAATGATATAGAGGGATTAATGTCTTTCTGGCGTAGGGTTGAGGGGAAGCTCAAAAGAAATTACTGTGTCCACACCCAGAATTGAAACAGATTCCTCTGGTTCAATTTTCTCAATTATTCATTCTTGGTTTTATGTGTATCAAATGCCAGTCTAAAAAAAAACAAAACAAAAAAACTATCTACCCATTTACTATTAATAGAAAAGTAGCCTTCTTAGGGTAATAACATCATAGTTCTCTTCAAAGTACCCTCATGGGGAGCCTACACACAGTGCAGCATACCTATCATTTTAAAAAAAACTATCTACAAAGTTCTTTTTGACTCTAGTCTCAACCTAACAGATGTCCCCTGACATAGTGATTGTTTTTCTTATAAGATTTATATTCAACAAGGGTTGATATGTTGTCAACATCTCCTGATGAATGGATGTAATCTTCACAAAACTAGAATAAGAACAAGACAAGTGAACATTTCATTTTATTTATTACTATATATATATATATATATACACACACACACACAGAGGCATACAGAAAGAGAAGACATTAATATTAATAATCATACTCTAAAAGAACCGTTTCAACGCAATGAATTTATTTTTTGAGTGCGACTGAGAACAGTTAATTCTTTAACAAATAAACCTTAAAATTTAAAAAAAAGTAACTATATCAACAAAGTATACATACAGTGATTTTTTTCAAGCATAGCTCAGATGTGGCACAAGGCCGAAAGTATGGGGCACCCAGTGAGAATCAAACTCACTATTCAGTTGTAATTGTTCTAACGAGACAAGCTTACTAACCATTACACCATCTTGAGGTTCCCTTCAAAGTATACATATATAGGCATTTTCATCAGTACTTCTGTTTTTTTTATAGCAATGTTTAATAAGCTTATCTTGCAAGCCATTGTTAGTTTTAATCATTTCACCCCCCCCCCAAAGCAAGCTAATAAAGCCACAAAGATGCAAGGTGTTATTGAGTGTGAGTGAATGTGATAAAGAAAACATTATTAAAGAGAGAAAACAATAAAGTACAGAAATTAAGAAGTTCTTACTGAATTATTTACATTATTCGGACTTATCCTCATCTTCATTGCCATATTCATAACATTTTGGCTGTTGTACACTCTGGCCTTCTTCAGGTGATTGGAATTTCGAACCAAACCCTTTATTTCGTCCACCAGGGTAGGTTTCTCTAGTTCCACATGCCATGCCTCTTCCAGATGTCTCAGTTATTTCTCTTTAACTCAACTTTCCAAGTTTTTTTGTTCACCACTGCTTTAGCCTGGTATTGAACTCACAACTCTTTGGGTCTAGTCACTGGATCTAACCAACACCTTTATCCATTAGGCCATGTGTCCTTGAGGAAATAACTGAGACATCCGGAAGAGGCATGACATGTGGAACTAGACCAATCTACCCCCCCGTGGACGAAATAAAGGGTTTGGTTTGAAATTTCAATCACCTGAAGAAGGCCAGAGTGTGCAACAGCCAAAATGTTATGAATATGGCAATGAAGATGAGGATAACAGTCTGAGTAATGTAAATAATCATAACAACTCATCTCAGAGATATACAATGATATTCTTACTGAATGTTACAAAATGACAACTTTGTGCTAGACGGTGTTAATCTTATTAAATATTTGCTTGTTTCTAAACTTGTTGTGTCTATTCATCTCAAGAAAAAAAAAAACGAATTACAAAATTAATTAATAAACTGTTATAAATGCCAGGGTTGCATCTATGAAATCTTTAAAGTTGTATCATTGTAGTTATTTATACTTATGTATTGAACTGATGTTTCATACAATATCTAAATAGACAATGATCAGGTTCATTCATTTATTCCCTTAATGCATTTTGTGCTGCTATGGTCACCACTATTACTATTGTAATGGTGGTTCATAGTGACATTCAAGGCAAAACAGTGCAATGGCTTGCCGGTTCCTTTTGCACAGGGATATTGGGGTTACCCCATCTCTCTTCTGAGAAGTTCTCTCCTCCCACCAATGAAGTCATTGACCTCTGAGGTGCAGCTCCTATGCCTAGGCTGGCAACTGGTCAGCAGCTGCTTAGCACATGTGGGTTAGGGAGAGGCATTCCTCTTCACCAGTTGGGTCAGGAAACCCTGCCAAATGACCTCACACAGTTTAGCTGGCAAGTCGATGACATTGACCAGGGTGTGGCCTTGCAGTGCACATGTGACTTTTTGAGGCCATATGTGGGAGTTGAATGTATGCCATGGACCAGTACAATTCTGCATCCCAATTCACCTGAGTAGAGCAGATTATTATTATTATTAATAATAACAATGTTTACTGTATATACATTTCCATCATAGAACCATTTATTTTGTAAAATAATTAAACATTTCTTTGGACCCTTTAAATCGGCACTTTTCTCTTTGACCACCTACAAGATTTTATTTCTTTGTAATTGTCATGTTTCTCTTATCTTCTGATTCATATCATACTGATAACCAAAAGATCCAAATAAAACATTCATTCATAAAACTGATTATTCTTTGGTCTGCGACCATTCGTTGATTTATTCAGTTACTGCATATGGGATACTGTGCTCACTAGTCCCCCTCTTTCTTTAATTGTGGTTCATGGTGACATTCAAGGCAAAATAATGCAATGGCTTGCACCAGAGATGTTGCACCGGAGATGTTGAGATGACACTGTTCCTCCACCCATTGGTAATGCCATTGATCTCTAAGGTGCAGCTCTTATACCCAAGCTGGTGACTGGCCAATGACCACTAGCACAGTAGGGTTGGGGAGTGGTGTTTCCCTTTACTGGTCGGGTCGGGAAACCCTTTCAACTACCTCCACACAACAGGTTGATGTTGTTGACTGGAGTGTGGTCATCACAGTGCCTATGCAAGTTCTTGGATCTATGTGTGACAGTTAGATATCGGCTGGGGGACCAGTACAGTTTGGCACCCCAATTTACTTGAGTAAAGCCAGGTCCACTACTTTGCTACAAAGGTACTACTAATGACAATGCACAGAATTTAATAAATAAATAAATTGTAAAAATTCAGAGGGAAAAATTCATTCTCTTAGAATATTTCTCTACACATTTGAAGAATTGATTCTAAGAAGTTCTTCATTCAAACAACCACTTCTTTGATGTCTTTACTTAATTAATTTGAGATGAGAAGTTGTTTTTAAAAAATAATTGGCAAAATTTGTTTAAAATATTAACACATCAGTGAGATCTCTGATTAAATGACAGGGTGCAGTTCATCTTCAACTGGTTTAAATTTGTTATTTTTGCTGCCAATACAAATGCAGCTAATGTTTCAGCTTCTCATCCATATTCATTCATTGTGCTGCTCTTCCATTGTTATTATACAAATAATCATTTTTCATTAGAAGTAATAATATGATGCAAAAACTGATTCATTTCATATTGCTGAACATGATTAATGTATCCTATGTATCTAATTGTTTTTATTTTGCCTTTCAATACTTTTGTGAGTCTTTCTTGGCTCACTTCTTCTCAATGGTTTAAAATGGTTCCAGTCAGTCTGTTGTTGTAGCTTCTTGTGTTGGAGCTTTTGGAATGTTTTCCATGAACCCTTCCTTTCATATTATCACCATTGTTTTTGGCCAATATTTCTCCAGGTTTCCTGAATAAAAATTTATTAACATTTTTTTTTAGAATTAAATTATTGCTGTTTATTCTCTGATACTATTTTCATTAAATATGGAATTTTTACTACTTCAATATTGTAAAAATAAATGTGATGAAAATTTTTATTGAATAACAAATAAAATTTTTAAAAATAAAGCACCAATTAAGACTTAATTGTTCTGGTTAAAACAGTAAGCTTAAAATCAACAACATTTCTTTCTGAACAACCTCATGTTGCATTCAAGGCTGATGGCCATATCATGTTGAAAACATTGGTTCTTGTATGATCACCAAAGTTAAGCAATGTCGAACCTCACCAGTACCTAGATGGGACACCACTTGGGAATATCAGGTGCTGCGAGGTTGCATGTGCAGGTGGTGTAATGGATAATGCTTTGGAATTGTTAATCAGAGACCAGAGTTTGGATTCCAGTTGGGTTCATTATATTCATTTACATGCAAAGAGAGAAAGGTATAAATCTACCTTTTCTCTCCAGTTACAGGTTAATTTGTAAGACTTGTATCACTCAACCTTTATTTTCTCAAGAAAAAATTCTTACAATCTAAAAATATTTTCTGGCTTTAAATGACCTGAAAAATGTTTTGCAAGCTACAGAAAACAAATCAATAAATCATATGGCATTCAAATTTTGCTTTCTTCTTAAAAAGCAAAAAACCAACACCAAACTATTGACATTTGGATTGTACTAGTCAGAACCAGTATTTAGCCACAGACAATAATGTAGCATTTTGAGCAACCACAATTCTGCATTATGATCGAAGTATTGGAGTTGAACAGAGAATAACAGCATAGCAGAACAAGAGGATCAATATTATTTTTGGTGAAGTTCTGCAAAAGTTGCTAAGTTTTCCTCTCTTCTAGCATACGTACATTTATAACTAGATATGTTATTATTTAAATCTGAAAATAATGTTTCTTTTTTTTTTTTGTATTTATATATTGTGATTCATTTCTTCATATACATATAGAATTTGCTCAGGGTTTACAACTGTTATGAAAATATAGTATTTATGTGTATAACTTGTCTGCAAAATGCCATTTTGTAATTTTGTCTAAAAAAAAAAAACCAAAAAAACTTCATATATTCCAAAAGCATTGCCTCACCTGAATGATTTGTAACCTATTAATGTCCACTGTAAAAAAAAATATCCAGTATTAAAATTATAAAAGTTTATAAAAAGGATTTGGTATTAATAATAGGTTTATAAGAAATGAATCCAGTAGTAATTATAGATTTTTAACAAAGATAAATCTGCCAATTGTACATATATTGAATATTGCTATCTAGTTTGGTGCTCTGGCTATATGAATCTTAAAATTCTAAACAAAATCCAAAGACTGGTTTATAATGTTATGAGCCCTGACCTACTATCTTCACTTCAGTCACTTTCCAACCACTGTGATATGACATCCCTCTGTCTTATCTATAAGTATTTTTTTTCATGGCAGTCATTCTAATAACCTCTTCTTGGTACCATGACCACATGAATTTAAGCGTACTACTATAGATTGGCTACTAGGCCTCATCATTTTATTCTTGAAATAGTTTATATGCAACCTTAATTTCTATTCTGATACTTTCTTTTACAGTTTTTGTCTGCAGAACTATTCCACTTTCTTACTTCCCTGCTATTGACAATCTTCAAAAATTTAAATACAACATCAATCACCATTTTCTCTCTTTTATTATACTTTCTCTTCAATAAAATCTTCTCATTCTCTTCCACTCCCAGTAACTAAGATCTCATCATTTTACAGTTGAAATGGCTAGATGTATCTGGAAGTTCTATACTAACAGTTTCTTCTCTTGCACTTCTTGCTTGTGGAACACTATTCCAGCTTCTTGCTTCCTAGTTAAATTTGATCTTCAAAAATTTAAATGCAATGTCAATTGTTATCTACTGTTTTCTTAATTCTTGTTTTTTGATTGTTCTCTATCCTTAATAGTGTTTTTATTTTCTCATATGCTGTAACACTAAGTAACTCCGTTGATTTTGTGGCTGACTTGCCTAGCTTGAGGTGAATTGATTAAAAAGAATGATTTTTTTATCACAACTTTGCAAAGATTTTCATAGCGAAACATATTAGTGCTTGGTGATAAAGAAGTTTTATTTGTTTCCACTTAAATTTGATATTCTTTTTGGATGAATAGGTCATTATCATGGGAATGGGATATAGAAGATGTAAAGCTGTTGAATTTTAGTGAGTCTTTCTAAATTTTATGAAATCACTGACTAGATTGTGATCCTGAAGCAAATAAAGCAAGTCAATGTATTAGTTTAATTAAACCGTTTAAAATTGTGTTTAAAATTGTGTTTGAAAGATAATTAATATAATTCTTTTGATTTTAATCAAAAGTATTTGACTTCAAGGCAACACCAAAAGTGAGACATTTGAGCTAACCTTCACAAAATTACAATTACAAATATCTTTTTTCATTCACCTGATCATTTCAGCCAACAGACTATTCAGATCATGGCAAATATTGTCTTTAGTAGTATTGTCTCAGTCTGCTCTTTCTCCTCAATATGTGTCATCTGTTAGTGCTTCCAAATGATGGAAAGTTACCAAAGCAATATAATTGCAGATGCAGAGATTCCAATGAGAGTGACAGTCTCAGTACGCACACCTGACAGTGCTTTTTTTTTCAGTGTTGTCTTTCGATGATTATTTTTTTTTTCCAATCATTTTACATTTATTCAGCTCAAGTTTTTTGCTTCACCACTTTTTAGACTATCACACAGTCCCAGCCTCTAGTGAAACTGATAACTTGAATTTTACTCTCCTCTATTAACATTCATATTTATTTACTCCATGTCACTCTTGTAGACATCTTTGAAACAAAGATGGACCTGACTTTGGTTTCTCTTGCTGGAGTCCATTGAGTTCCATGTAGTGCACATGGCCCAAAGCAGGATGAAGAGATTGGGCATTACAAACTGCATTTTTGCCACTCTACTTTTTATTTTAAATTTTTATTTTACTATTGTTCATCCAATGCAAGTCCCAAGAGCCACTTAAGGAAAAGGGTTACTCAAGTTGTTATAGGGATTTAAAAGGAAGAAACTAAAGGTGCATATTATGAAGATGTGTACTGTAGATAACAGTTGAGCATCAACTTGAAAAATTTAAGATTGTTAAGGGAAGCATCCTCTAAGGAGTCCATTCCATAATGCAAGTTCTAGAGATGAAGCTGTTAGAGTGGACCTTTCTCCTTACCAATGGAATATGAAGAGATTAAGGATATTGACCCAGTGTGCATGAATTGACTTATCCTCATTCCCTTCATATTCCATTGGTTAGGAAGAAGTTCCATACTTCTGAGGTGGAGGTATTGAGATGCCACTGTTGTCTGAATTAGAATTTCAATGCCTAGTTTCTCTAAAGCAGTGTGACAAGAAGTCTGGCTGTGCAGATTGTAGCCTTTTTGAAAGAACATCATATCAAGTTTTTATTTGACACACTGATGAAAGATAAAAATATAAATAAATATTGTTACACTCATGGGTTTGTTTTAGATTTAAAAAAAAAAAAGATTACTAAATTTTATTAAGTAATTTGTTTTCGGTACACTATTTTTGATTGTGGACAAGATATTTGAAATGTATGAATTATGAATAAACAAAAGCTGTTTGCCATAGACAGAAAAAAAAATTGATCATTTCTTTTCAAGAATTTTTTCTTCACTTATGCAGATGAACAGACTAATGTTATAAACGCTTGTAAAACCCAATGCATCTGTTAATATGCTTGCAACTATGGTTGCTGCTATAGCCAAGAGTTGTTTAAATTTACTCTCTCCTCCAAGCCACTCTTTACATCTTCCTCCAATTTCTCAAGCCAAATTTATATTTCTCAGTTTTTAGCAAATGCTCTCAATGGTTTCTCTGCCATCAAACAATATTTCAGGGTTCAAACCAGGAACATTTCATCTAATGATATAAAAAGCAGTCTTATTTCCATTGGGAGAGACATATCAAGTGCAAGTCAGATTCTAATGAAAAGATATAGAAACAAAAATACAAAATCTTATTACACAGATATTTTCTAAACTTTTTAACCAATGTTTATATTTTAAATGGATATGTACACATTGAGGAGTTGCGAAGAAACCTGATGCATAGTGGACTAATGGATAGCAGCTTGTATTGAGGAATAGTATAGCTGAGTTCAAATTCCAGTCGAGTTCATTACGTCCATTTACGTGGTAATACTCTTGAGAGAGGTATGAATTCATCTTTACCACTAGCTATGGTAAATAACAGAACAGAATGGACCCTAGAGCCTTGCTTGGCAACCTGTCTAGTTGAAGGAAAACTCTAACCCAAAATTCAACCCAGCCTGGATAGGGTTGGGCTCCATCAAGTTGTTTGCCCAGGAAACACCATTTCTGCTGTGGCTGCAGTAGATGTGGTACTCCTATAACCCTAAGGGGATACAGGACTCATAAGAATACTGTTTGAATGAAGAAGGCTGGAGTGTACAATGGTTGAAGAGTTGTAATAAATATAGAGACAAAGATGTGGACAACGTCTACATTGTTTTAAACTTGTTCATTTGAAAATATGATTTGAGTTAGGATTTTATGCTCTTCATTCAAACAGTATTCTTATGAGGAGATGCTGAAAAGATTTCAGTCTGGACCATTTCCCAGAATATGACCAAATTTTTATTCTTATTTTTAATTGAATTGAGAATTTTTTGGCACTTCCTCATATCTTTATTTTTTTGTTTCTTTTACTTGATATTCTGACTACTTCCTTCTTATAATATAAATCAATTATTCTTACAGATACCACTATTAATAATAAACTTTTATAATCTAATGATTAGTTTGACAAGAATACGACTCTAATTATAGTGATTGTGAGATAATGAGAAAACAGGCAGGTAATATTTTTGATTTACTTTGAAAAATAAGATCCATAACAATCAGTTTTCTCTGACATTTGCTAATTTTTTGTCAGGTGTTTGAAAATGGAAAAAAAAAAACAAACTATCATTTATAATCAGTATCTGTCTCTATTTCTGGGATGAGGTATTATGTACACTATTTACATTATTCGGACTTTTTTCCTCATCTTTGTTGCTATATTTATTACAAGGCTTCAACCATTGTACACTCCAGCCTTCTTCAGGTGGTTGGAATGTTGAACTGAACCCTTTATTTCACTCACGTGCCATGTCTAATGGATGTCAGTTATCAGTTATCTCCTGCTTAATCTCCTCTTAAGTTCTCCACCGCCTTAGCCATTGTGTCCTGTCAATGGATATAACTAACACCTTTATCCACTGTGCCATGTGTCCTTGAGGACATCTGTGTATGAGTTTCTGGGTAT